TGAGTTCTCACTGGAGGCGCTCTCGTGTGCCGGTAGTTTGATTTCGATGCTGTCGGATCTAACCCGAACGGTCGCGGCACCCAAGATCTATCCCAAACCACCCTGCAAACAGGCTTGACTTCCCAAATGATCAAATTGATCTGATCTATTCGCCAAGAGTAACATCCTCAGGGGAGGCACTGATCCGTTGTGTCTTGAGGGACTTGTGGAGACCCCCGCTAACAAAATAACTGCAGAAGAAAACCCAGCACCATCGTCCGCTGGCCTTCGGTCACCGCATACCAAATTATTTCCTTCACCTGTTTACAGTCCCATCCCACTTTTCTTCCGGGTAAAAGTAAAGGTAAAGGTTCCCTTGCTCAAAAGCCAGTCGAATCCGACTCTAGGGTTGCGGTACTCATCTCCGTTTCAAAGCCGAAGAGCCAGCGCTGTCCGAAGACGTTTCCGTGGTCATGTGGCCGGCATGACTAAACACCAAGGCGCACGGAACGCTGTGACCTTCCCACCGAAGGGGTACCTATTTATCTACTTGCAATGTCTTGCTTTTGAACTGCTAGGTTGGCAGGAGCTGGAACTAGAGACGGGAGCTCACTCCGTCATGCGGCACCCGGGTCTCGAATTGCTGAACTACTGACCTTCCACAGCCTGCAGTTCAGCGTCTTAACCACTTGAGCCACCGCAGTACCTTTCTGCCGGGTAGTTCCAGATAATAAGCACAGGGGATTTTTTAAAAATCTTTTTTAAAATCCTCACAGCACCCCTGTGAGGTAGGCTGCATTCAGTTTCCTGTGAACGCCAAGCTTATCGTTTTAATTTCACAACGCAAGTCTCTAGTTCTCGTGACATTTCTTAAAAGCCTTGAAAACCAGACGGGCTTGACCGATGCCTATGTTTTCAGAACGGACGTTTTGGAGTCCGTATCATTAAAAACGGCTTCTCAACATCCTGTCACGCTTTCAGTGTGACGGAGAGACAGAGCACGAGATTGGCCGGTGCCCGTGAAGAGGCGGAGCTATGCAAACAGGCGTGACTCCCACATCTGGGACGGCTGGACGCTTTTCAAACGTGCGCTCGGATAAAGAAAGGCTCCCCTAAGTCAGGGAGGGAACTTTGAGACTTCGGGGAAACTTCTTGCCCTCCTCAACAGCCGGGAGTAGGAAATCGGCTAGACAGAATGTGCAAAAGTACTCGATTTGCAAAAAAAATGAGGTCATGAGGCCTAGTTTTGGTTTCGGGGGCACAGACGTTAGGGCTTGCTGAGCGCCAAGTTTGTGCGGCCCTGCCGAGAGCCTCCGTAGGACGTGTCTGCGTGGGACGGCTGCTAGAAGGCGGTGTAATCATCTACAGCGGTTACCAAGGCGCTCACAGCAAAAGCATTCCATTCCCGCTGAAAGCCTCCTGGGATGCCAGACGACCCCCCCCGGGGGGGACACACAAAGACCCTGTTTTCCTTCTCCGGCTGCTGACAGGCAGGCCACGGGCCGTGTCCCAGTGCTGGCCCTTTCCGTGGCCAAATGATACACACGTACACGCCACACAACTTAGAAAACAGGCCAAATCTCTCTTTTCTGCATCCCCAACACGGCTGTTGTGGAATCACTGCTGTGAACGCCTAGCGTTACCTGGAAGCAAGAGATAAGGCCTTTTCGCACATGCTCAGAGACCCTTTGCTCTTTCCAAAGCAAATGTGTCTGGATCAGACCTAGGGTCCAGCGTTGCGTTTCCGGTGTGAGCTAGCCAGCTTCTTCCAGGTCCCCCCTCAAATGGGATATGCTGGCTTCCCTCCCCTGCAACTAGTACTGAGAGGTAGATTGCCCCTGAAGCTGGAGGTTCCATTTAGTCAGTACAGTTTTATAGGAAGGGGAGAAAACTCACACTGCGATAAGGGATTGGCTGCCGAACTGGAGAGGCCATGGGGCCGGGGACTGAGCCCAGGTCTCTTACCCTCGTAAGAAGGCTGAAGAAGGGAGTCCGTTTCTTGGCACACGAGAGGTGTCTGACTTCCAGACAGGCCTCAGCTGCCTGGCGCTATGCCAAGCAAGGGTGAGGTAACATTTTCAGCGAGGGAGAGGGGCCAGGAAACTGGGACAAAGGCCCATACCAACAACTGGATTGGAGTCCAAGCCGTCCCCTAGGAACCAAGAAGATATTCTTTCCAGAGTCAAAGCACCCTTCGTCAGAGTGCCACAAGGAGGCCAGTTAGAACTAGAAATGTTGGGGGAGGAAAAGACATCTCCGCTAGGCGCTGCACAGAAGCAGCACTGACTTTCAAGCTCTGGGGCAGATGTCCAAAGAACTGTGGTCAGTTTGGTACAGTGGTTAGGAGCGCGGACTCTGATCTGGGAGAGCCGGGCTCGATTCCCCACTCCTCCACATGCAGCTGCTGGAAGACCTTGGGTCAGTCACAAGTTCTGTCATGGCTGTTCTCTCAGGAGCAGTCCGCGAAAGAGCTCTCTCAGCCCCACCTACCTCACAGGGTGCCTGTTGTGGAGAGGGGAAGAGTCAGTTAAGTTCTCTCAGAGCTGTTCTCTCAGGAGCAGTTTTTGAGAGCGCTCTCTCAGGCCCACCTGCCTCACAGGGTGTCTGTGGTGGGGAGGGGAAGGGAAAGGAGTTTATAAGCCGCTCTGAGACTCCTTTGGGTAGTGGAGGGCGGGGTATAAATCCAATCTCTTTTCTTCTTCTACAGTTCTCTCAGAGCTCACTCAGCCCCACCGACCTCCCAGGGTGTCTGTTGTGGCGAGGAGAAGGGAAGAGAGATTGTAAGCTGCTCTGAGACTCCTTGGGGGGGGGAGGAGGAGGAGGAGAAGTAGAGGATTTATACCCTGCCCTTGACTCGGAGTCTCAGAGCAGCTTACAAACTCCTTCCCCTTCCCCTCCGCACAACAGACACCCTGTGAGGCAGGTGGGGCTGAGAGAGCTCTTTCAGGAACTGCCCTTTCAAGGACAGCTCAGAACTATGGCTTGCCCAAGGTCATCCAGCAGCTGCCAGTGGAGGAGTGGGGAAATCAACCCCGGTTCTCCCAGATTGGAGTCCGCGCACTTAACCACTACACCAAACTGGCGGGGTATAAATCCAATCTCTTCTCTTCATTTGCAATTCCCCCATAAATCTGCCACTGACCGGAGGCTCCCCTGGGCTGAGGTAACGCCAATTCGGCCCAGCCCCGAGCCCAAATTCAGGACAACGGCACTGCTTCGGTGACCATGTTCTGTGGTTCGCTTGGGGCCGAACCCCACCCCTCGGGCACAACCTAAGAGGCCCGCCCTCCGCGCGGGCACCGTCGGCCAAGCGCCTCTCGATTTTGGGTGACCAATCGCCAGGCGAGGGGCTCTTTTTGTAGCAGGAACTCCTTTGCATATTAGGCCACACACCCCTAATGTAGCCAATCCTCCAAGAGCTTACAGAGCTTTTCTTACAGGAGCTACTGTAAGCTCTTGGAGGATTGGCTACATTAGGGGTGTGTCACTTAATATGCAAATGAGTACCTGCTACAAAAAGAGCCCCGGCCCTTCTCCCAGAATTCCTCCGGGCTACAGAGACCCGCTCCCCTGGAGAAAACGGCTGCTTCGGAGGACGGACTCTATGGCATCGCGTTCCTCCTGCGCTTCCTCCCTTCCCCTGACTTCCCAAAGACGGGAGTTGTGTGTTTCCTTCTGCTGGCCGAGCCCCTTCCCCCCTTTTTCTCTCCCTTCGCCTCCTCCCTGGCACTGGCCAGCTCTCCCTCCCAGCCGCCACTGCATACCTTTGGTTTCCGTTTCTCCGCAGACCTGCCTAAGAGGAAGTTTCCATGACGCACGCTGCCACGGCAACTGCAGCCTTTCACGTGAGGAGGCAGGAAGCTCTGGGAGAGGCAGAGCCCGGGAGGCCCGGCGTGAAGCTGACCCACAGATGGGGGGGGGGTCCAAGGCAGGAACCCGGTCCGCCACGTCCCTTTCGGTACACGCACACACCCCCTCCCGTTCTCAGCCCGTTCACACGCATCCCTGCCCGCCACTGTTGGCGTCGTGGTTCGGAGTGCGGGACGCGATTGGGGTTCGAATCCCCACCAATGGTCCCTCTAAGCTGTGGAGTCTTGTGAGCAAAACTTCTACTTTGTGAGCTACTGGCATTAAGGTTGTGAGCAAGAAGGCCAATGCTATGCCGGGGATTATTAGGAAGGGTATTGAAAACAGATCAGCCAATATCACAATGCCGCTATATAAATCAATGGTGCGACCTCATCTGGAATACTGTGTGCAATTCTGGTCACCACACCTTAAAAAGGATATTATAGCTTGGGAAAAAGTGCAGAAAAGAGCAACTCGAATGATAAAAGGGTTGGAACACTTTCCCTATGAGGAAAGGTTAAGGCACTTAGGGCTCTTTAGCTTGGAGAAACGACGACTGAGGGGTGACATGATTGAGGCTTACAAGATTCTGCGTGGGATAGAGCAGGTAGAGAAAGAGGTACTTTTCTCCCTTTCTCACAAGACAAGAACTCGTGGGCACTCCATGAAATTGCTGAGCGGTCGGGTTAGAACGGATAAAAGGAAGTCCTTCTTCACCCAAAGAGTGATGAACACTTGGAATTCACTGCCACAGGAAGTGGTGGCAGCTACAAGCATGGACGGCTTCAAAAGGGAATTAGATAAGCATATGGAGCAGAGGTCCATCAGTGGCTATTAGCCACAAGGTATAGATAGGGACTCTGGGGCAAGTGATGCTCTGTCATCTTGGTGCTTGGGGGGGGGGGTCAACAGTGGGAGGGCTTCTAATGTCCTGGCCCCACTGGTGGACCTCCTGATGGCACAGCTAAGACAAAAATGTGTGAGCCGGAGGCTAAAGAACTGTGAGCTAGCTCACACTAACTCAGCTTAGAGGGAACACTGATCCCCACATGACCGCCTTCCAGGGCTGTCGTGAGGAGACAACGGAGGAGGGAGAACCACGCACTGTAGCCGGAATGCCTCGGAGAAGAGGTGGGCCAAAAGCAGACGGTGGAGATCAAGCCAAGCTCCACCGGGCAGCTGCAGCGTTCGCTAGGGGAGACGTCTGTCAGGAGGAGGGCTGGGGTTAGTGTCTAGGCCAGGGGTCCCCAACACGGTGCCCGTGGGCGTCAGCTTGCAGACACTTTTTTCTGGCCCTCACCAAGTTTTTTTTAGGAAGTAGGTGGGGCTCTTGTTCAGCAGAGCTCCTGACTGGCCAATGGAGATTTGATTGGCTTTGCGGATTTCTTACATGTTGCTTTGGCGGCAGCTGCCGCCACAGCATAGGAATCTACACTGTGTGTGACTGAAGCGAAGCCGTGGCAATCGTTCTGTGGCCGGCTCCGCCTCCTGTGGCAGCCATTCAAAGATTCACTGCCGCTGGACGTGAAGGTTCCACTGCAGCCGATGAGAGATCTATCCCTCATGAATCTGCCTACACGTCTTTCAAAATCCTCTAAGCCACTTGGTCATATCTTCATCCTGAGGCAGGGAGTTCCACAGGTTAACGACGCATTGTGCCAAGGAGGGATTTCGGCTGCCCATCCCAAGTCTACTGTTGACTTTACTAGGTGCCTCTAAGCTCTGGAATTTATCCCGTCAGGTTTAATTTTATAAATCTCTCTCATTCCCCTCCTCAGGTGCACTTTCTCTACACCAACCCCCCCCCCCCAACCTTGTACAAGGAAAATGCTTGACCCCTCTGAACACTTCCCTCCTTGATGTCATCAATGTTCCCTCTAAGCTGCGTTAGTGTGAGCCAGTTCGCCGTTTTTTTAGTCTCCGGCTCACACATTTTTTGTCTTCTCTCAGGAAGGGCGGCTCCGGAGCAAACGAATTTATACAGCAGCCAAATCACTCGCTCACTAATGCCAGTAGCTCACGAAATAGACTTTTTGCTTACAAGACTCCATACTTAGAGGGAGCATTGGATGTCATCCAATCGAGAGGGAGCAACATTTGCAAAAAAAATCACTTGCCTCCCCTCAACGGGGAACAAAATGCAAAGCTCTGCTCTCTCGTTTTGCATGGAAGAGTCGCATTTCCACTGCAAAAGCTGCAATAAACCACAAAACGCAAGACAGCTCGGACAGGTGCGGGGGGGATAGAAGTCCGCCTGGTCCAACAGCAAGGAAGCCGGCACATTTAGCTGGGAGGCTCGGATTCGAGTCTCGCTCCCCTAGCTACGGAGCCGCACGCCGCGGGGTGAACATGAGAAACCTCAAAAAGACTTGCAAATTGAATATACGCAGGGAGTGCAAGGAGTTATCAGTTTCGCACACCACAGAGGTGGAAAGGAGTTTACTAATTTACTCAGAACACCACCGTCACATCCAACGGTGTGTGCGCCCCAGGACACGGAGACCGTACCTCTCATTTAAAGATACCTAACTTCCTTCCTCTATGCACACACCACAGAGGTGGGAAGGAGTTACTAATTTACTAAGAACACCACCGTCAACGGTGTGTGCGCCCCGAGGAACACGGAGACCGTACCTCTCACTTAAAGATACCTAACTTCCTTCCTCTATGCTAGGAAGTTCACGGATGGGATCTAATGACTGGATTCTCACGATTTAGGGTACATCGATCTCCAGTTCTGACATATTTATTACTCATGTTGTGTGTGTCCCCCCAGCTGAACCCAAACAGAAGATAACCAGAAACCCAGCTTGTCATTCTTTTTATCTGTTAAAAAAAAAATTCTTCACTATTCTGCATGCTAATTTAACAAGCTGCCCTCTCTGTATACAACAATGATCTGTAATTCCATTTCGATGTATCTGAGGAAGTGTTCATGCACACGGAAGCTCACACCTTGAATAAAACTTTGTTGGTCTTAAAGGTGCCCCTGGACTCTAATTCCGTTCTATAACAAGGGTGTCAAACATAAGGCCCGTCCAGGACCCTTACCTGGCCCGCAAGCAACTGGTATGTATGGAAATGAAAGGTACTCCTCGTTCATGATATCCCATGGGGATTTCGATTTTAGAAACAATAGAACACATAACCAAGATTAATATTCCACTGTCACCTACTCTTATACTTTTAGACCTATGGGAAGAGGTAGAAATTCCCAACTCATCTAAAGATCTAATCTCCACAATGTTAATTGCAGCTAAAATGGTAATTGCTAGAAATTGGAAAAGTTCTAACACATTAACGAAACATCAATGGTATATGCAGCTATGGGAACTTTATGCTATGGATAAAATAGCACAATCCATACCTCCATATAATACCTATAGAGCTCAATCTTTGTTTTATGTGAAATGGTTACCCTTCTTAAAGGCTACTCTTGGGGATGGTATCAGTGCTAATACCTCAATCCCAGCTAGATATATAGAAATTATCTCAGCACTTTGAATAGATTTATTGTTTTATACGGCGTTGCATTTCATGGCACACACGGCCCGGCCCAACAACGTGACATCTATGTCAGATCCAGCCCTTGTAACAAATGAGTTTGACACCTCTCTTCCATAACTTCCTTCCCAGTTGGCCTGCCAAGGGGTTTTATGACCACAGAGACATGCGCGTTTCTGCAGAGAACGGGATCCTGGCCATTCCTGAAAACATCGGTTTGTTTTTAAAAGCAGGTGACTATTTTATTTATTTATTTATTTATTTGTTTGTTAAATTTATATCCCGCCCTCCCCCGTAGGGCTCAGGGCGGCTTACATGGCAAAAACTTGCTCATAAAAACATCAAATACTATAATACAATTTAAAAACATAATATAGAGTTTAAAACCCAATCAGACAATAAAGTGCTCAAGACTACACAGCGTCCATACTAAGATATCAGAGAGGACAAACCACATACCAAACATCCCTTGGTAGGCATAGCGTGAAAGATGTTAAACAGATGTTCCACAGATGTTCCACCTAGCCTCCTAGGGCCCTCACCCCCCCACATTGATGGTATAAAGCGGGGGGGGGGCGGCGGCGGCCCCTAATCGCAAACCTGGGGGAAGAGGTCCACGGGGGGGGGGGCGGCGGCGGCGGCCCCTAATCGAAAGCCTGGTGGAAGAGCTCCGTCTTACAGGCCCTGCGGAATTGTACCAGATCCCGCAGGGCCCGGATCTCCTCCGGGAGCTCGTTCCACCAGGCAGGGGCCGCCACCGAGAAAGCCCTAGCCCTCGTGACGATCAGCTTAGCCTCCTTGGGGCCCGGTATAGTTAGAAGGTTTTGGGCCCCCGACCGTAGCGCTCTTGGGGGAACATACGGGGAAAGGCGGTCCCTCAGGTAGGCTGGACCCAGATCATATAGGGCTTTATAGGTAAGAACCAGCACTTTGAAGCGAATCCGGTACGCTATTGGCAACCAGTGCAGCGCTTTCAGCACAGGCTGAATATGGTCCCAGTGCAGCGCTTTCAGCAACCAGTGCAGCGCTTTCAGCACAGGTTGAATATGGACTAGACCTCATGGCCGTGAAGGCCCGTCCCACGTGGGCCAGCCTTGGAAGCCAGAGCCGCCGCTTGGTCACGTCACCCACGAAAATGCACATGGCTTTTCCACAGGCCCCCTTTGAATGAGATCGAATCGCCCCACCGGCCTGCGGCCTCAATCCAGTTAGCCCAATGAGACTTGTCAGCGTAACCATGGCGCTGCAGTGCCCCCGACAACCAGCCCTCCGGCCACCGCAATGAGGTGGCTGAGAAGTCAGGCTGGCCCCGCTGAAGCTAAAATGCGATCGAAACGGTGCACTTAGTGCCATTCCTCATGAAAACAGTGCTGGAAGCTGGGGGACGGGGGACGGGGGACAATCCAGCACGGTGCACGCACACACACCAACACAGCTACCATTCAGAATGGAATAATTAAAGCTGCCCCCGGGGGAGCCGGCACACCTTCGACAGGGTGTGAACTTCACATTTGCTGATCGTTTGGTCTTGTCTTTGTACTGCAAAGTGAGAGCCGGTTGTAGTCGAGTGTAGTTTAGGGGCAAATCTGGAAGTCAGTTCCAGAGAGCCAGGTTGGTGAAGAGGTTAGGAGCGCGGACTGTAATCCGGGAGAACCGGGTTCGATTTCCCGCACCCCCACATGCAGCTGCTGGTGTGACCTTGGGTCAGTTACAAGTTCTCTCAGAGCTGTTCTGTCAAGGGCAGTCCCCGAAAGAGCTCTCTCAGCCTCACCTGCCTCACAGGCAGGGTTCCCTCTAAGCTGAGTTAGTGTGAGCTAGCTCACTGATTTTTAGCCTCCAGCTTTTGTCTCGGCTCAGGAAGGACGGCTCCAGAGCAAACTAATTTATGCAGCAACCAAATCAATTGCTCACAACTTTAATGTTAGTGGCTCACAAAGTAGAATTTCTGCTCACAAGACTCCACAGCTTAGAGGGAACACTGCTCACAGGGTGTCTGTTGTGGGGAGGGGGAGGGAAAGGAGATAGTAAGCCACTCTGAGACTCCTTCGGGTAGTGAAGGGCGGGGTATAAATCCAATCTCTTCTTCCTCTGAGCTATGAGCCCATTGCAATGTTCCATAAAATCATTTGGAAAGCGAAACATCAGAATACAAAAATCCCCCCAGTGTTAGCTTTCTGTTGGCAGGTCAGGCCGTTCCTTTCAAACTACTGAACTCTGACATGATATAGGCCTGCAAGGACTGTACCACATGACCTTGTTTAATGAGTGCAAGAGCTGTACCATATCAGGCAAAGAAGAAGAAGAGAAGAGATTGGACTTATACTCTGTCCTTCGCTACCCGAGGGAGTACAACCCTTTCCCTCCCCCTCCCCACAACAGACACCCTGTGC